CAATTGATGCATCTGAAGCACTCACCCAAAAAGCTTTATCCTCTCATTTGGATTTTGTTAGAATTATTTTTTCCGGTTTGCTCATATTTTAGGAATTTAGTTGGGCTGGATCTTTCAACTAAAATATTTCTTTGGAAAATTGGTCATTACAATATGCCTTAAAAATAGGCCTTATTTTGGGATATTGTAAAGACAGAGGCTAGTTGTTCTACGGTTGACAAAAATGTAAACTTATTTAAATATGAAAATGAGGTGATCATGCTTTTTATGTGTGATGCAATATCAATACTCATATTTATTTGTAAGAATGCCGGTTCTTTCATATTTAACTTATATGAATGATTATAGTTGCAATAAATCGTCATTTGCATTAACTGGGTTCTTTTTTTATCCAGGCCCTTAATTTTTCTGGCCATTCAACGCTCTATTTGCCCGTAGAAATCCCCAAATTTTATTCTTGGAAGCCTTTAATTTCTACTAGTTTATATGAATTTAGAATAGCTCACACTTCGCTGTGATTTTTACTCCCAATAAACCTTGGTATTTATGGAGGACAGCGATTTTAACTTTGCTAAATGTTATTAGCTCCCAGTGCTATGTACTTTAATTCAGTCATTATAGAAGGATTAACCAAATTTCTAGTATTGCACTTGCAGTTGATGTCTGTCTCTGTGGGGCAAAAAATCGTGTTTGGAAGCATGAATAGTGCTTTCTTAAGACCGACTCGCAACTGAATTATGCCTCGGATAATAAACCCTTTTTGAAGACATCACAAAATATATTCATTGGCAAAATTAGTTGTTATTTTTTATTTATCTTAAGTGACGAAGCTGAGATGTATACTCGTCCTTATTGTGTATCATTTATATTTTCGTTGAACATTAGCAGCATTTTTATTCTGGACATTTATTTTTGATTTTCATTTGTCATACTGAAGAATTGTTTTTCTAACCTTACTCCTGAATTTGTATATTCTATGCTTCCTCCATTTACTTTGCATAATTCATATTTTATTTTTTACTGCCTTACATCTACGGTCCACTCTTCCACTTTCCTCTTCCATTAACCTTTCGTCATTTTATTTCTTTCTTTGTTGAACACCGTAAACATTTGTCTTGGGCAGCTATACTCTCGTCTAGACTACTCAACACATCTGCCGATTAGTCCCATTCGTGGCATTAACAGTTCTGTGGATTCGCCAATGACCTCTGCCGCCGATCAAGTGTCACTGGCAAAAATCTCTATGGACCTTTGTTCCATCCAACTGGATGCAGATCGTCAATTGCTCTGTCTAGGCGTGCTTTCTGCTCTTCTGCCGTTTCTAGAAGCTTGGCTGATGGTTTCTGCACCAATCGGTTATCTCCATTTTGACGACCCTGCCCATCTTTCCCACGAGGTTGACGATAAATCGAAGAGACTAACAGACATTCCTGTTACAATTATGTCTGAAGATGAGCCGTCCTATCCATCAACTAAACTTGGCGCCGACCCTGTTTTACACCAAAACGAGACAAATGAAGATAAGGAGCATTGCTCTGTCCAAAAGACGCATAATCTTATAGCCGATACCTCAGAGAAATCGACTGATCCATTCGAATTAGAATGCCAGAGTCAGAGTGGTTGGATACAAACAATGAGCCATATTAAACTACTCTATTTCTGCCACAATTATTCTCATCCGGATAGCTCTGGTGGGTTTTGTCTGTCTATGCTGCCGCTCTGGCTCCTAGTGATGAAATTGCATTTTAAAATGTTGTAAATTATAGGGACAAGTTTTCACAAACTACGAGAAATATCTGGACAATATATGATACAAAAACTTAATTCATTAGAGATATAGAACATTTTGTTTAATGCCATGATGATTCAAGTATCCTCATCTTTACCATAACTGGATCTAGTCGCTCATTAAGTAGGGTAGGCATGCATACATCTCTTGTGTATAAGCTTTTTTGGCAAAGGAAGAGCGCAACTTAATTTAGTGACATAATTGTTGGACAAGAAAATGAACAAATAACATGAAAAATGTCCCAACTATACTTTAGTTCTTGACGTCTCTAAAGTTGTTGATATTAAATGCATCTACATGGCAAAATATTGATAGCAAGAGAGCAAAATAATGAAAATCTGCGATGCAACAGTTTCCTGTTATTATTAAATTATATTATTTGTATGTACATTGGAATTTGATGGCTGTCCAGTCACATCCTTGTTCTTTGAAAATCAGGCAAAGAAATAGTAGACGAATACATACGGGAAAAAAGATAGGTACAACTCTCTATACATCTATTCTTAGTTACGTTTTTCAGGAAAACCCTAATCTAATTTCACTCTAAATTACAATCCGATTAACATAAAGTGTATTTTCGGCAGCTGTATTTGAAACCTTTATGGCCTTTTTTGGAAATTTAGGAATGGTAATATCGATATGTTCTTAAAATAAATTTACATAATTAATTGGCCTATATATGTCTACTAGAGCATCTCACATCAGCTAATTATTAGAGGATTT